TTCACTTTTATTAATTAAAAAAGAGTGGCCCAAGTATTCTTTTGTGTTGTAAAAAAATATTGAAATTGAAATTATGAGTATGTTATTATTAGGGAGACCTATTCCCCTAAAAGGACTGGGAAAATCAAATTGTGATCATACAAATGTAAGATAGGAACTTAAAAGGAGCCGATACTGATCTACTGTTCAGTCTGAAAAACTGATCTGAGACTCACTGTGTAAAGGCCTCCATAGTGTTCTCAATCTTTTCACCACAGCCTGAGGACAGAGAACAGGAGGTCAGAAAATATGGACTGACTCTCAGACACACAAACATAAAAATTCCTCAAATAGTTAATCACTCACTCAATCACATATTAACTAGCTTTATATACAAACCCCACGAGGAAAACATTCATACATGCTGTCACAGACACAGAATTATCTAATGCTGTGTATTGACAGGTTTATGGAATAGTGACAAGATTTCCATATATTTGTCAACAGATTATATACATTTAATAAAATAATCTTTATGTAACTTTCCTTGCTGTATGTTAGGTCACTTAAAAATACTTTGGCTGTGACATGCATAGAGCAACAGCAGCAGATGATTTAATTGTGATTTAATATAACATTTATCTTCAGCATTATTACAGTTAATTACTATGACACTACTGTGACTATACCTTTTAAAGGTAAAAATCCCAAACCCCAGACATGAGCTGGCTATTGACTCGGATACTCTACCTCCTCTGTGAGAGATGTGGGTGCAGTAGAAGGCTGTCTGTTTCTTCTTGTGCAGAATATGAGGGTTCTTCAGAAAGTAGAGTGAAGTGAGAGCGTAGCCCCCTACTGCTGGGAGAAGGTAGTACAGGTAGCTTGCCATAATTCCCACTATAAGGGGCTCCGAGAACGCAAAAATCTGATCTTTGAAGAAAATATTGGATTTGAATATTATTTCATATTTTCTTTTAATTTAACCTAAAAATTGTAATGTTATACAATAATAACATTAAATAAATTATAAAACGTATTATATATACATATCAAAGGAAAGGTGTATTATCAAAAATATGTATTTTAATATTATGTAATATTTCTGATAATTTAACATCCACAACATCCTAATATTATACAATAATGACATTAAATTAATTGTAAAAAGTATTACAAATACATATACAAAGGAAAAGTGTGATATCCATCTACACAAAATAAAATAAAGATTATTGGAGTGTTTTACAGAAATGTGCTATTTCATTCTTTCTATTCCAAATTTGAATTCAATCCTTCACATTTCTTTATTGAATTGTATATTGTAGGCTATCATCTACAGTATATATATATAT